AATACATGCAAGTGATTACAATTTGAATACTCTGTAAGCAGCCTATTTAGAAGTGATGTGAAGATGTGAAATTTGATGTACAATAATGTTATCTGTAATGAAAATGCTTAGAGAAAATTTATATATTTGGGTTTTTCAATGAGTACCATATGTTGTATAACTTAAAACATATCTGGAAAATAACCTACTTTGTGTGCTTCATTGTATTAGGATTCAAAACATAAGCAGAAGTAATGATTTATTTTATGTTTTATTCAGGCTAGAAGTAGGTAGTTATTGACGTAATGAAGCTAATTTGAGCACTGAAATTACCAAAATGAGTTCACTTTAATGTCTTATATTATGGAAACTGGCTCTTGTGAGCTTTAAACCATGTTATAATATTGTTACCTCATTAAAAACATACCTGGAGTTGTGTTTTAATTCATTCACACATGTTTGAGTAACTGTTTATTAGTCATATCCAAAGTTCAAAATGCTCTGTTCCACCTTGTGGTGTCATGTAGTGGTAATTTCATGTAAACAGATACCTTCTACCTTTTGTTTAGTAGAGACTGCCAATTCCAGGACTGAAACAATCCAAATGATTCTAGTGAAGGTGTGCACAGTATAAAAGCAGCAGATCACGCTCTGTATTACCACATGACATCAAACGTTGGAAGGGAGTGTTTTCTGTTTAAGAGAAGAACACAGCCTAAATATGCAGGATTTGTGTGTTAAACATGAAACACAAGTCCAGATTTGTTTGTGATGAGGAAACAACATTATAAGATTGATCAGAAAATTGTGTAATATGGGCCCTTTGAGGTAAATGGAATGATAACAGTGTTAGATTATCACCAAATTATGTGGGGGCAAACTCTTGATAAGGATTAAATAAAACACTGTTACTGCATGTTTTAGATCAGGAAAACCTTAAAGGTGCACTATGTAACTTTTCAGCTGGGGATCTGGTACCTGCTTGTTTTTATAGCTCTGTCATTGCTCTGCCTGGAATGTTCCACAATATAAAATTAAACAACTCTACCATACATTTATTCAATTACAGGTGGCTTTATACCAGACTGACCCAGTTACAGGTCAAATCTTTACAAACTTGACCTGTAACTTGGTCTGGTTTGGTCTCCATAAAGATGTAAAGCTTTAACACCATACTGTGAAACATTCCAAAGCAATAATATCTCCATGGAGAAAAGCTTTGGAGAGACCCTTCACCAGAAGAGTTACACAATGCATCTTTAAAACAGTTTGATTAAGGACATTTAAACAACCCTCAATAGCATCTTATCTTTCTATATATGTCTAATCAAAGATAAAACCACATGTATTTGCCGCTATCTTATGGTCAACGCGTATATACTGTATGCACCAGACTTAAGACCTAGAGCTATTTCTCTATTCTATTGCACAAACGTTACTTTCTTGCCAGTTGCTGCTCCTTCCTGACACAGACTGTGAGACATTGCACTGTTGCTGTGTTTGTAAACCTTGTGGAAGCAGAATAAGATATTTCTCTGGTGGACAGGAGTCGGGTTGGTCTAGAGGACACGCTCATGACGCACGCTCATATGAAATGATTAGAGCCAAAGGAGCATGACGTGGTTTGAGAGCAGGCAATCTCTGAGCTCAAACCAGCCGGAAACCAAATTAAAAGAGGCTGCTGGAACATACAAGGCAGGCAGCGCAGCTAACTCCAGTAAAAGAGCTTTTCACTTTTCATTGCATCCTAAAAGCTCGGGATATTGGGCTGTGCACAAATGGATTGGACACAGGAAGAAGCGCAGTTTTGGGAATGTGCTTGTGCGATCAGTGCTAGTGTGAGTTAGCAGAAGAAAAATAGCTTTTGTGATTAGTATAGAAAAACATTACAAAAGACAATGTTAGAAAAACACTGTTAATGCTTGATCTGGAATGCTCCACAATATGGCATTAAACATACAGTATTAATCTCCAGAGAGCCAAGCAGACCTGTTGATACTGTGCAGTTGATGTCATCAGCATTCCAAAGGGGGGTGAAACTGACTAGAATACAACTAGAATAGAACACAATCTTACCATAAAGAACTGACTCAGCTAGAACTAGTGACAATTGACAAGTTATAAGCTGGCTAGCATTGGTCAGTTGTTTTTCAGTGAATCACTCTGACTTTTTTGTTGAAAAATCAAACACCAAAACATGAAGTTGATCACAGGCTCGCCTTAAAGCAGACCTATTATGCATAATCAACTTTTCAGACCTTTTAACCATGTTATAGTTGTTTCCCTCACTATTTACTCACCCAGAGTTTTATTTGGAGAGATTTGTGCATGTTTGAGCAGTCATTATCATTATTTTCTACATGCCATATTGCCACTCAAACTTTGTTTTCCCGGCCTCAGACATACGCCCACTGCTCTCTACTTAGTTCATTCTCCAATTTTATATTATATAATGAATATTTCTTAATTGGAGATATGTCTTGCATAGTCATTTTGGTACAAATGAAAAAAAAGGTAGGAGGTGACTCTTTTTTGTGATGCCGTTTATGGCGACATCAGCTCCTATTAGGCACCACAGTTTTCTAACATGGAAGTAAGCAGACTTGTTTCTTTTCATATGTCATTTTAGATCAACATTGCGATTTAAAATGTCCAAATTATAGCATAATGATCCATGCCTGTCATAGATTATAGCCATATAGCAGACACAAACACAATAGTTCTTCTTTAAACATCCCATCAAAGTGCCATGGTGAATTATAACCTGTCAGTAATATTATATTCCCAAAGCAGTGTATTTTACATATCTTTAAAATCAAAAGTATATTATTGAAGAAAGTGAATACATGCCACATAAAACATTGTACCTGCTCTTGTATAATGCTTTCAACCTTTGATATATGAGATAAAAGCCTGTCAGATGTCTCCCAATCACTCGTCCGTGCAGTTGGCTGAACACAGATAAAAATGATAAAAGTTTCTCAGAGTAGAATAATTGGAAAGCTTTCAGAACTTTGTGTGGACACGTATCCAGTGGGTGGGTTTGACAATTACAGTGTGAGCAAGGCCAGAAGTCTCAGTGCGGCTCGAGATGCTGGTGAGAGCATCAACAACAAAGAACAAGCACTGCCATTAGAACTGTTATGAAAGAGAATACATGAGGTACAAGCTAAACAATAAATACAGCTTTCATCAGAGATCACAATGTACCTGCTATAATGATTTCATGTAAAAACCCATCCAACCTATTACATGCTGCAATATCATAAAAGCCTATCTGTCCACAATACCTGTATCAAGTCTGGCCCTGTGTCTCTATATTTAGTAAATGACAAATTATGTAACTATATTATAATGCATGGCAGTTTATCTTTTGACTTCTAACCCAAACAAGTTATGGACATACCATCTCATTCAATGTGTGTTTTTCCCCTAATTTTACTATTTTCTACTATAAACACAGAAGACATCAAATACAGTATATGACGAAAGAGGTATGGAATTATGTAGCAAAGGGAACAAAGTTATATAACTACTATTTTTTATATTGTATATTCAAATCCTCTGTGCAGTCAAATATTAAAATCTTTACTACATAATTCCATATACTTATATCATATAGTTGATGTGTTCTGAATGTATATAAAATGTAGAAAGTAATAAAAATAAGGAAAAGATTGTGTCCAAACTTTTGACTGGTAGTGTATGTCAATGTAGTAGTAAAGCAAAACAACCACACATGACATTTTTATGGTTGGGACAAGTGTGCAAGTGTAGACTGAAACTTTTTTCATCAAGTTTAACCTATGAAAATAAATATATGACCTTTTGAGTAACACCGGATCTAAACTAGGTCTGAAACTAGGTCTGAAACTATTCTAAGATTTTATTAGGTTTAAACCATGTCTAAATAGAACTACAACATTGTTACAATAGTTTAAACAAGCATTAAATAAAATAAACTAAAATAAACTCTAAATTTTGTAAATATTTGAACTGCTTAGAAGTGTATTTTGAGAAATACAGTGGTAACTATAGATGTATGGATGTAATGTTATCCAAATCTGTCTGTACGATATTGTCTCGATCTGCATCTCACAATATGATATTTATTGCGATATTGAGTAGAGGCTACTTTTTCCTTTTAATATGCCATGATAAGACTTTGATACTGTTAAAATACAAAGAATTAAGAATTTAAAATGCTTCATAACAGTTATCTCTTCATGGAGTCTGCACTGAAATAGCAAAGGATCATGGTCTATGTAGTTCTGTTTTTTTTGTTTTTGCTATTACCGCACAACAACAATGAATTTAAGCAAAGAGACTTGATATGATTCGATATGCTGTGATCCCCCATCATATTACTGTAAGACTTTTTAACGATACAATATCACAATATATCGGTTATTGTTACATCCCTAATACTTACCCTTATAAAGGTTACTTAACAGATGCTGATATTATCCTGTTACTTTGTAGTGACGATGGGGGCATTCTACATGGATCTCTATTGGTGGAATTGTTCAGCAGTTACCACGGTGACACAATGTTCAAATGAGCAAACGCAGACCAAAAATATTTTACGATAGCCTGAAAAAAAAAAAAAAAGCATTTAATCATCTAATTGTCAGGAGTCTGTGATTAATACAAGTGTTCAAGTGTTCACAGTGACAGTGACTAAGTGAAATACTTACTAAAAACAAAGCTCAGATTAAGTTTAACTTGAGTAACAGAGCTTCTAACAGAGTAGTGCTTTCAGTTAGCATCACACTCTGAGGCAATGTGGATGACGTAAGCTGCAAAGTATAAAAATAAACTGCAAAAGTCAAACACAACACCAATGATACCACAGAAGACCCCACGAAAACTCCTCATAAAAATGTTTATTATCCTAACTGTTATCAGAGGACAGATATCAACTGATCACCTTTTTACAATATATTACTATCATTAGACTGTTTTTATTATACATTGTTTTAAATATTAATTATTTTCAAATTTGTACATGCTTTCGGGAGTCACATTCCCCGGTCTGATGGAGCAGAAAGATGAGGAAAAGGCACTCGATTGCTCTTGTCTGAGTGAGCAATACTGTCCAGAGTAACACTGAGCTGGAGTCTGGTGTGTGTGGGCGTCTGTTTGAACATCTCCACCATCAGATATCTTCAACAGACAACAAGCCCCTTTGAAACCCATTACAGTTCTTCACCAGGGCAGCGCAATACGTCCAAAGCCATTTTCCAAATCATAGCCCAAAATAATCACTTTGATATGGCGATCGACAGCTACACCTTTTTTCAATTTCACTTCAAAAATAACACACACACGCACACTGACACACTCCTTCTTGTTTTAAAATAGAAAATTGACAATCTCTGCGACCCATTCTCAGAAGCTGCACACGCGTCGTATTATTTTATACATGTAGCTTAAAGTCAAAGCTATGGGTCAGTCGACGCAGTAGTTTGAGCCCTAGCTAGAGCTCCAAATGCTTCTTAAGATGTGTTAGCGCTCCCTCCATGGCCTGAGGGTAGCTTAGTGCGCGAGTGGAAAGAGATACCACAATCTAATGCGCTAACAGAAGCTGGACCCCCGCAGTTTGCAATCCACCTGCATGAACATGAAGCCCCCAGCAGTGTCCCGGTAGCGCACATGAGCTCATCAGTGCCGTGGGTGTTTAATCCAGTTTCGGATCATCCACTTCTGGCCTGAACAGCGTTGGACCACCAGGCGCAGGCCGAAGTTGGCGTCTTTGGACATTTCCACCTCCAAGCACCGGCCAGTGTCCCTGCTGATGATGGGGCCGTTCTGGAGACAAGAAGCATGCAGAGAATATTAAGAAGTAACTTAACACGGTTGAGTATAAAACATAAAACAATTACAATTACAATGTAATAACTATTTTTTTTTTAAAAATCTTAAATCACTTCATCACTTACAATTTGTGTAGTGTTTTGCCAGTATCTTCTGATCTTTAAGCAGTCATTTTTGATCAGTATAGTTATTTTTTGTGTGTTTACGACTATAAAATGAGCAACAAAGTGTGATTTTGTAATGCAAATGTAGACTCCACACTGCTGTTATGTTTTACTACAGATTTGAATGCATTTAAATGCATTTGAATATCCAATGTTTTTTATCTGTCTTCTTTTACTAACATCTTATTGTGCTGTACTTTATTATTTTATGCTGAATGCCGTTCCTGTCACAGCCCTCCCCATGCACAGTATTTAGGCTTGATTCAGGGAGCACACTGTCCTGTGATTCCTTGGATTAGCATTATCACTTGTTGTTGCTATCGATCTTAAATTAAGTTGTTTCCTCGTCAAAATCATACCTGGAGTTCTTTTGTTTCATTCACATACATTTAGGCTGAGGTCCTCTCTCAAACAGAAAATCCACCTTGTGATGTCATGTGGTAATACAGGAAGTGCTCCACTGTGTTTTTAAACTCCATACACCTTCACTAGAATCATTTGGATAATTTCAGATCTAGAATTGCCAATCTCTACTGAAGAAAAGGACAAATGTAGCTGTAAACTGCCAGTAAATGACATCACGAGGTGGAACAGGTTGAACAGAGCATTCTGAGCTGTTTAGATGTAGACAGACTAATAATAGGCTCTATTCACACTTACGCCACAAACCAGGAAGACATTTGAATACAGGCGATGACAACTTCTGGTGTAGTTACCAACACTGGGCTCGCCTACTGACTGTGGGGAGTAAATGTGATCAGCGGTAAAATGAAGACTGCATGCGTATGTGCTGTTTGGAATCATCTTGAATTTGGTCCTTCATCCCTTCTAATTGCACGTAGCTACTCAGTGCGCTTGGAGTTATGTGTCAGTGGGGAAATTATGAAAACGTAATAGTTGATTAGTCGAACATAATGGAACGCTACAATCATGAGTAGATGAAGAAAACTGGACCATTTTCTCAATTTTTCCTAGATTTTGTCAGACTTACTCATAGACCTATAAAACCATGAACTTACTATCATGAACAGAGCCCCCCGGAAGTTGTCATCACATGTTTCCAAATGTCTTCCTAGTTTGTCAGATAAGTGTGAATAGAGCATATAAAGGGTAACTCAAATGTGTGAATGAAGCAAAACACAATTCCATTTATGTTTTTGAGGAGCTAGTGACACTATAACATGGCTAAAAATATGTTTTTAGTTGTGTGTAATATAGCAGCTTTAAAATTACTTCCTTTTTTTGCATCCCTTTCCTTTCCTATTTATCACCTGCACAAGTGTGAACAATCAGGAAGAAATCAGGTTACTCTTATCAGACAATTACCTCATAACTCCAGAAATCAGATAATGACGGGATTTTTGATGTGCACGCAAACCTAGCCACTGTCACAAAATGCAAGAATGTGAAAGCCAAGCACTCATTTTTACTGCCTATTACGGTGTGTGTACTGAAACAAACCGATCCACAGTCCTCTCTTATGGGACTCACCTGTGTGAAGTCCCAGAGGCGCTGTGAGCTCCTGGACACGGCCTCACACTTCTTGAGACTGGGGGTTCGTCCTCTGCCGTCGTCGATCAAACATTTGGTATCAGGGAGGAAGGTGGTGGAGCCCAGGGGCCCCAACTGCAGGAGGCCCTCAGTGGAGTACCGCGCCAACTGGAAACACACACATAAGAGAGGGTGATGGTGTAGCACTGCTGTTTATTTGTTTAGTTCAAATCCAAACTCAAAATACACCTATTTAGACGGGCCTTTTCCCTTCACCACAACACTGGACCATAGCTCCACTGTCCTGCTTTAACTGTGTGCTTTTAACTGTAATTTTTTAAATTATTGTTGTAAATTCCCTAGTATAACGGTTAGTTCAGTAACTGTTTATTTAGTTCAGGCATTTTTAGGCAGCTGAAGGGTCCTTGGAAGCACAGTGGAGCTGCCATGGAAACGCTGTTACTTCTAGCCATGGATATGTAATAAAAACTGGATAAGGCACACCCCCTCTCTGGGGGTGACCAGTTGCCGTTCCAGGTATTGCAGCTCCCGGGAGCTTGGGCCCAGAAAGAATTCTCCCCTAGAAGCACAATACATTTATTGGGAATTCAAACTGCCTGTGTTCGGCTGACAGGGCATCGACAACTTTCACTAAAGGTTGGATTTTGTAGGGATTCTTTTCTATTTTCACAACATTTTTTTCAATTTTTTAATCCTCAAATCAACTAAAAGTTAGCTTAGTAAAGTGTAGCCCCCACTCTGAGCCCGCACTAGCTCTCACTCTGATTGGTCCAAGCTCTCCACGCCGTGCACGTTTACAGACGTCACACGGGTGGGAGGCACGAGCCCATATTGAGGAAGTAAATGCGGAAGAGAACATTTTTTTGGGCACATGTACCAATGAGCACAGGCCACTGAAAACAATATGATACCATCTTTGGTTCACCTTCCAGACTGTATTATAGTCCTGTGCTTCTAGCCTAACCACTGTAGCTTCAGTTCATTACCTTACCTCTGAGTCTATGATAGAGCTGGGTTTGTAAATCAGTTTGTTTAATTAATTATTTCTTTAATTGTTGTGTAAATGTTCTGATGCTAATTTACTTGATTCTTTTACATATGTGTATGTGATTGTTGATGTAAATTGTTTAACAGTTATTCATATGCTGATTATATGTGCTTGCTATTACTACGCTAATACAGTTATTTCAGTTAGTAATATTATTTAAATATTCTAACAAATAACCAGACTGAAAGATACAAGAAAGTACATTACAACTCCACAAAACTATTCCCGTGTCCTCCTTAACTCTTTGACCAGTGTACTATTTTGGATAAAGTGTCCCAGCAGATCACAGTCTACAGTCCTAACAATCTCCAATAACTGTATTTAACTTTATTCATGTTTTTGTATTTGAAATACAAAAGGAAAGGTGCCTAATAAATAAAATGTATTATTATTATTATTTATTAGGATGCCCATTAGCTATATGCAAGGGCTTGCTAATCTTCCATTAATCTTAATGTTTATTAAAAATATTTAACAAGTTTTCATTTTGTAGAGATAAAAAAAAAAATAAATAATAAAGTAGTAATAGTAGACTTTTACAGTCAAAACAGTATATTACTACTAGTGATGTCAAGATGATTTAATTACTTAATCGATAACTGATCATTCAGGTCGCAATGGTAAAAACAAAAAAATATAATTGTAAAACATTTAGAAGCAAAAATAAGTTATTTAAAAGGTTTGATGTGACATAGGGGAATGGTGATCTTTTAAGACAATATAAACACAAATATGTATTTCACTGTTGTTTGGCCTGGGGTCAATAATTGTAAAAATAAATAAATAAATAAATAAAACTAAAATAATCATATTGCTAACATTTTATATTGTAAAATCCTTAATTACTACTACACCTTCTACACCTACCCTCTTGAAAGGTTCAATACCAACCGAATTACTATTTCTATGTGTACTTCTGTTACTGCTACCACAAATGCTACTTCCAAAATCTTACACTGTCTTTCCGTTTGCCAGACAAGCATAACCACCTTCCCACAGAGGTCCAAGTCTTTTTACTTATTTAAACACAAAATCAATTGAGTAAAAGTATCTTGTTACTTTCACCTTCTGGATTTGAGACAGAGGGCATTCACTACTGTAAGCCTGAGCTCGCCCAGTTTGAATGGGAAAGTGACAGTGTTCCCAAAAGCAGAACTTGATCCTCGCTGGTTAATCCTGCACATGAAAGAGCCAGCGCCGATCCGTATCTGTTACGTAAGGATACAGTAGAGATAGCATTTATTATTTATCGATGCCAGTGATCCTCTCTGAAAGATGAGATGCAAAAGATATGGAGGTCTACTGTACAGTTCTGCTCAGAGTACAGCTTCAGGTCTGCATCTTATTCACTGTACTGGAAATCAATGGAACTCAATCCCCCTCAATCTGTTGATTTATAAACAATGTCTTCTTCAATGCATAATTCATCTCTTATAATAAATATTTCAATACAAAGTTGACAGTGGAACAAACTGTGCAAAAATCATATAGCTTTTTTTTACATCTTAAAAATATTGAGTACAAATGTTGGAAGGAGAAACTGCTTTTTCACTCCTTGGTGTTGTGGTGCACTGTACATTGATTCAGGTCATAATGTTATTTGTTATAAATTTGGCTAATACAATTTCCATCACAATTTTTACAATTTTTGACAATTTAAATTCTGAGATGGTTATATGAAATGTTTCTGTTTGGCTGGATTTAGTTTGGAAAGCAGGGAATATAGTAATTTGCAATTATTACAGATTCACTTGGTTTATTTCAAGGAATCATTCATTTACATACACCCCTCTGTCTCTTGCTCGAGGACACAGCAACAGCGCTGGTGGGAGCTGGGATTGAACAGCCAACCTATGAGTCCACAGACCAGTGCTCTAACCTACTGACTCTGCTTCCATGTTTTTTGTTTTTCTTATGCTACTATTCAGAGTAGCAGTCAACACAACATACCCAAGTGTCTATTAGGGAAATGATACAAATGCTGATCTTGATTTCCTTACAGATTCTTACATTGCTGCAGTGGGTCTTCCAGGGTCATTATGATCTGAGCAGATTTATGCATGGTGTAAACTGTGACTAGCCACAAAAGCTCATATAATCATATAATCCCCGCTAAGACCTGTTTACTGGCCTGTCTGACAGCCTCCTTCAGCTTAATACATTTACAATGAGACCGCAACAAAATAATTAAGAAATGATTGAGCCCAGCCGTTTAGCCTGAGCCTCTGAAGCTGCCTGAGACACTCTGCTCCTCCTGTTCTTTGTTCAAGTTTAGGACAGACTTGTGTTGAAGGTCGGAGTTTTCACAGGCTTTAATTAGCTGCTGACTGGTGGCATGCAGCGGTCCTGTAAAATTCACACTAGCACCTCATAATCTCTACATTATAACTCTTGATGTGCCCAGCTCCATCAAGGACACGCTGTGTACTCAAAGGGTAGAGCCAAGGAAGGGACTGCTTTTAATATGTTGGCACACATACACTATTCATACAATACTGTAGTTTTAAAATGCTGTTCTGTAATCTCTCATAAATGTAAATCACTTTTAACGTACAATGTAGCACAACATTAAATGTTTAAAGATAATTTTTTAATGAAGGGTCCACCACCTACTTGTCTTCATGTTACTTGCTTTGTCTGTAATGTTCCACAACATCCTATGCCTGGCATTACACAGGCAGATGATGCCACTAGGACAATTTTCAAGTCAGACATGTGGAGTTTGTTTTTTAGCAAAAAAAAGTATGCAAGATGGACAAGTTTAGTCATATTGTGCATCCCTGAGAAAGCAATAATATCTCCATGGAGACAGACGCAGCTAAGGAAAATGAAAAACATAATGTATTTATTTCTTTGTAACAGTGCATGTTAGTAAAAGGCAAAACCAACAGCACTGGCACTGTCTGGAACTGGAACTGAAGCACAAACCTTTGGATTAGCGGGTGAACCCTCTACCACTGTGTCACTGGTCTTTTTAGAGTAGATCACCAATTTCTTGACAAAGCATTTTATCAAATATTAATCTTGTATAAGACTTTACATGATTGTTAATGGATGTTTTGCCCAATAGCACTGGTAACTGACCCACAACCTCCTTGGAATACCTGAGGAGGTCTTCCTCTCCTATAGTTTTTTACTACGGCGATTTCCCTCAGAGAGCAAGCACAAAGCAAAGCCATCCCTCAGACACTATCAAGATTTATCCTCCGCAATTACATGATTTTTCATAAGTAAAACGAACGTCGCTAAAGGGATGCAAACTCACAGCATCCGACTAAATTGAATAGAACCTGCTCACGGTAAAGTCGGTCATCATAGTAATCTAATGATGGATAGAAAGAAATTCATCTCTGTTTCCTTTGGGGAACAGAGCCTTACAGACTTGCATCACTGGACCTCTTTGAGAATGGAAAATGCCAGTGCGCAGCTCCCTTAATTTGACAGGTAAAAACATGACACTTGCCGGCAGCACGAGCGGTCAGGAAGAGATGAAAAAATGTAAAACAAATGAATCATGAATAATATTTGCATCTTTTGTCTTTGGGAATTGCCTTTTGTCTTTTTGCTCACAAACACACAAATCCTGCCTCCCACCCATAGCGGTGTTTGTCCCACGCTCTATTTAGGTAAAGGTTATGCTGAGCAGGCAGTACTCTTTTGCATATCCATATAATTACATCAGAGCTCACATGGGACCTAAACAGACTGTTAATGCATACAAAAGAGCCACTGGAGAGGATTCAGTTAGATGGAGAGACAAAAAGGAACATCAAAAATTAAGTTTTACAAGGAAAAATCCACATCTGGGCCAATGCTGCTCCCTTCTATCTCAGAATTCCATCTTGAGTACTGACTGACTGAACCCCAAAAATCCAGAAAACGTCCTAGTCCCTGCATTGGAAGAAATGTAATTTTGGTAGTACTTGTGTTATACAGTATCTTACTCAGAATTGTACTTTAATAGATTCATGCCTTTTTGAGAAATCCTGCATTTTTCTGAATTTGAGGTGCGAGTGCTCATAAAATTCATGTTTTGACTTACCCTCTATTTCCTTCCACTTTTCTACACATACTTTTACTTATTTAAAAAAGTCAGACTCTGGGACAAACATGTATGGTTCAAAAATGTTATATAGCCATTAAAAAAAAAGCAGTTTGGAATGATGAAATGCCACCGTGAAAAAATGGACATATATCAGTTCTGCAATTTTAAACAGGAAGTCAGCGGACCTCTATATTTTGCACAAGTGAAATTATGTCAGACACTTCCGTTACAGATTACTAAAATTCAAAAAATCAACAGGCAACATATAAAATAAGCATAAAATAAGATGAGCACGATTAAAAAAAATGTTTAAATCTACTCAAAATAACTGCATCTATTCTTAACCACTGCATTTGATAGATTTCCTATTGATACGATTCATACACTGCATGAATATCCGCCCATCCTTCTTTAGTATGTCATGCATGTACACTTCACTGCCTCTGCAATCAATACCAAGTCAGAGCTACTATAGACACTGATCTCCGTGTGAGTTACTGCTGCATATGAACCCCGCCTATGGAAAACATTATATGACCTTGTATCCAGTCGTTCGATTTTTCTGGCGTAGGTTGGTAGGTAGAGCAGTTTGGAATATTTATCTTTCTCTTGAACATCTTGATTCTTGGTGAAATACTTACAAGTACAAGTATGGCTGAAATCAATTTATTCACAGCCACTCAGCCACTCTATGACACTCCAATATCACCTTCAGATGTGTTTGAGGTTTTGAGATTACTGACGATAAAGGCACAATTTCCACTATTTTATTATCAATTGAAAAAGTCCAATTTACCAAATATCTCTTTCCACTCCCTCCCATATTAAAGAGTCTATAACAGGTTTTGACGATTCTCTAATTGTGACTTAATTTGGTGGCATAAAACCTATTGTAAATATAAATTATAGTTTTACACAAATCAAGGTGCAAACTACAATTCTATTTTACAGAATCCCACACTAGGAGAAGTCTGTCCAAAAGTTCAATTTACCCAAGAAACACACATTTCTGATACTTTAAACATGATGTCAACAAAATAAAGTTGTTTTCTTATATTTTTATTGGTCAAATATTAATTTTTGTGTACATTAGAGGAGTTTTGGCCCAGCGTATTATATGGTTGCTAGGTAACAACAGGCTGCTGGGTCATGATTTCCAACTAGGAAGTAAAGTTTTAAACCTGAAAAATGCCCAAACTGGGAATGAAATTGTAAGACTTTTACTCAAATCTGAAATATAATGATCTTAACTGTGTTTTAGTAAAATGAGTAATCTAACCTGTCATGTGCACTTGAATGTATGTCATTTCTCCACTATAGTGTCTCATATAGATTATTATAGGATCATTGGTACCTGTGATGACATCCCATGGCAGGGGTAGAGGATTGCTTTGTCATCATCCTCTGAGCCTTGATCCAGACAGTACCCACTGGCTTTGCTGTTCCTCACCTAAAGAAGCAAAAGAGAGAAATGAGTGCAATCCCATCAGGACATTTTCCAACAGAACAGAGTCGTGCCAGCCCCTCCTTCTTTCTGTTCAATTTCTGGAATCAGACCACGGATCAGACAGTGTGTCCAATTTCGGGACAGTTCAATAACAGCTGCTTATTTGTAGCTGGTGTCTCTCAAATGCGGAATTTGTCTGTCTCAAATATCCTTATAACATTTGGAATAAAATATTAAACTCCTTTTACTTCAGGTTTACAGACTTCTCTGTTTCTCCTTCCTCTTTGTTTTAAAAAAAATTCTTTTATGTTTTTTAAGTCATGTTTGCTTGACATGAATAGTTGATGCATTCCTCTGCTTAATTCATCAGTCATTATCGCCAGTCAGGAATCCTGAGAATATAGCTCCAGATGATTCGGTAGTAGGGTTAAGAACTGAAAATGCATGTGGTCTTGTCTGGCCAGGAAAATGAATGAATTTTAAAATATTTGTTAAAAATGGTATAAGTAGAATAGACTGAACAGTTTTTATTCTGCACTCTTCTCTCTTCCCTTTTAATGTTAATGTTTAAGCATTTACCCTCACGAATTAAAAAAGTTACAAATATTTAAAGATATTTCATGAAAGGGTGTAGATTATTTAGAAAATAAATGTGAGCCAGTGTTTATTTGTTGAACGTAAACCCCAAAATGAAAACCCTTCCACTGAATGGAAAATAATGAATTGACTTGAATGGATTTTTCTATTGCTTCTATTCTTCCATATCCTCTGTGTTTCTCCCCTAACAGCGTGATCACGATGCAAGACCCGCTCTCCTGTCTCCTGCCCGTATGGTGATGTGTTCACTGAGCCTGGCCTGGTTTACGCGTGATTTGAATGTGCATGGCTCTATTTCCAGGTTGTGACATATCACTCATGCTGTGGTGTCAGGGAAGGCTTCACTCGGCTGTGGTCAACATGGCCGACTGCAAAGCTGATGTGAGGTGACAGCCTGGAGCCACTTCCTCTCAGTGCAATGGGGCTGCACGAGCTAAATGAGTCTGCTTTGTAAACATACCGGAAATCATAGTTTAATCTGAAGAATCGATTAGCTGGTTGTAAATGTCCTGCAATGATATCCATACCAGAAGCTGCTGCATCAATGCTTTTCTGCACTTCTACATGATTTGAGACAACATCTTAAAGGGCCTATATTACACTATTTTCTTATCTATGTTATAATGTTGTTTCCTTATCAAAAACATAACTGGAGTTGTGTTTTGCTTTATTCACACATTTAGCACAGAAACCTTGTATATTTAGACTTATTTCTTCTCTCAAACAGAAAACACTCTGTTCCACCTTGTCCTGTTACTCAAACATGTATGTTTTTGATGAGGTGACAACATTCTCACATGGCTTAAAGCTCACAAGACTCCATTTTGTGTAATATAGGGCCTTTAATGTTGCCAGTTCTAAAGTGTAATACATTAATCTTATGGGAAAGGGTTAGAATTTGAAGGTATCACTGAAAATTGTTGTGACAATGATCTAATAAGAGGTCTTCACCAGCCACTGTGTCATAATTTTCTTATTTGTTTTTATTTAGAATTTTAACATAATAAATAAAAAGACAACCCATCCCATCTTTCACACAACACTTCACAGTTGCAGAATAGATAGATAGATAGAACTGCTCCTGTCTTATTTAGAAACCAAAACCCAAACCACTTAAGTAGATTTGATCTGAATAATCTATAACTACCTGCCACAGTCAAAGAGGAAACAAAGTAAGACCAATTCTCCCCCCTGACAGATCTCCTGTTTCATTTGTATATATTCTGACACTACATTTGCACAGCATATTGATCTGCCTCTATTTTCCATTGTCAGGATTGATATCAGTTAAAGAGCACATTTCAGCATTCGTCCTAATCGCATACGGCTCTAGATCCTGTTCAATTCTTCAACCTGTCATATTCCTGTTCCCTCAGCACACTGCAGTGAGAGCAGCTCAGCCCACAACAATCAACACGCAATGGAAAACTAATAAGTCTTTAATTAAAGCTCATTATGAGGAAATTGCATCTAATCCTATGTGATATTGCATTGCCATAGCAACCAGACTTTTTTTTATCTGTGTTTTAGGCTATCAGTTTCAGAATGATGAAAAATTACGACTGTTGCCAATTCAAATAACAACTCAAAAAAATAAAATAAATAAATAAATAAATAAATAAAAATAAAAATATTTTTAGTGAGAAAAAATTGATTCTATGGATATAATGGATGTGAGAATAGGTGGCTATAATTATACCTATAGAACTAGAGAGTGCATTCTTGGCTGTCAGTGTCAATCCATAATAAGGTTCAGAAAAAACTATGAAATTTGTTAAATGGCTGGAAGCAAAGTTTTCCAATACAAAAGCTTCACACTATTGTCAACAGTCATCGCAGGTGCTATTAATGTCAAGAGTCTGTGTAGCACATTATGTTAGGTTTTGACCTCTGACCTCTCCGTATGTGATAGTGTTGTTGTAGATTCTCATCTCGGGGTAGACGTGTTCCAGGTACCAGCGGAAACTCCGACACTGCAGCTTCTTCCTCAGGGCCAGGCGCTCTGACACATCTCCGAAATCCACACCTGGGTTCTTTAAAAAACAAAAAAAAGATTGTACTTATTCAGTGAGCTCAAGGGGTATATCGAAGAACAATACTTTTTTTATATTAGCAATGCAAAATATTATAATTACAGCTAAATAAATACAACAACTACTGCTATGACTACTACTACTTTAACAGCTACTAGTGACTATTAACTCACACAACATAGTACACAAAAATTATTTTTCACCACACCCAATGTTGTACTCGAATGGATCAGCAGGAGGCACACAAGATGGATTCTTGTGAGTAAACTCAAATGAACCAGCTTGTTGCAGAAGTTTATTACTTATTATTATCAACAAACCAAAAGCTCATTAAAAGGCTTTAAATATACATTACAATGTAGAAAAAACAAGAACAATGCAACACTTTTTGAATGTTGAAAACATTTTTTGATATAAATTACTCCTTTAAGGCAGTGTTTCTTATTTAATAGACAATAACATATTTGTCCGCTCTGTGTCATCTGTATGTTTTAAGAGTATGGAGTGAACATTAGATGGATAGAGGCTGTGCTTGTGAGGGACCTTCATTGTTCTATGCGGGACGTGAGCTGCACTGAGCCTGTCCTAATCAGCTGGTTCATTATGAGCGCTCACGGCTCCATGTGTTACGGGGGTGGCTCCCACATTGATCGGGGAACGCCTGAAGACTGCCCTGCCTGGCACAAAGGCCCAGTTCACATATATTACCACTTACTGTTTCACACAGATGTTGTACAATAGTCTAAAATGTGTGTTTTCATCACAGATATACTGTATCTTTATACTATTCCAATTTAACAGTGTTTGAAACTTGTTGAGTGGTTGGAAGGAAGGCAACTCTGTCTTGCCAGGTCTGTGCTCAAATTAACAGTGAAGGTTGAGTAAGGAAGGGCAGCTGGAATAAACAGAAAATTACTGCTAACAATTTGATTTGCATGAAAAATATACTACACCCAATCATCAATGTTTTTTGTCATATATTTGAGCATAATGTCTTGCCCCGGTACAGATACAGCTTGAGGTCAAAATAAATCACAGTGCTGTCTGCATCTAATTCAAAGCCAATTTATTGTCTATTAGTCAGGAAGTGTGCATTAGCATGCTAGTTCTTGTTAGCTTCATACAGACAGAGCAAAAGCCCACACTGGTCTCTGAGAGTTGTGAAAAGCACTTATAAACTCATCGTGGTGAATAATTAAGATGCTTGGAATGCATAAGGTAAGTGAGGAATAACTCTGAACCACAGCAAAACATTTAAAATTAACTAGCTATGTATTTCACTTTTATATGACTGTAAAAATCAGGAATGGCGCCTTTAAAACTAGCTTTCAGTAGTTCAAGTTTGGCCTAACATTTTCCAACTCAGAAGCAGAAATGCAGCATCACCATCAGATGACAAAAACAAATGCATTTAATTTCAGAAGTTGTTGTTTTTAGATCTTGGACTCGGGGCTTGTGCTGTGCTGAATCATAAGCTTTCCCCCATAGCCACAGAAGTAATTTTCTCTTAGTAGCTCAACAGACAATAACTAGACTCTGTTACTGTGTGTATGGGCGAGATGGGAGGCACGGAGAAAGAACGAAGGTAGATAGAATAATTGTTGCGTTCACTTTTTATACAGAAAACAAGATAACTCCACGCTGCAGGACAGCTGGGTAATAGCGCGCCATGCCACTGTGTTCATAATTACACTGGAGATGAGATGGCTCCTGATTGGTTACTTAGTCAAAACCTCGAGCCCTTCTCTCACTAAAAAGCCCACCCTACAGCTCAAAGCAATACTTACATGTACGGGGTTAGCTAATCCTACCCGTGTTTAGCGAAACGTTGTGATAATATTAAGTAAACGTGAGGGACCATGCAGTTAGCAGCAGCCTGTTGGCCCACTCTGAGACAGCTCCCCATAGTGCTGTCATCATTTAGTCAGAGAAGGCCATTGCTAGTGTCCTTCACTGGCAATCATCTCATTCTGCACGCTTCCACTGTCAATTAGGATGCAATGTTAAAGTCTTTAGGAAGCAGAGGAGCTGTTTATTATTGTGGGGGCCATTTGGACAGACCTCTGAAAGCAATTAAGCTAAAGTGATGTATGAAAATAGGCTGATTAGTCCGAGGCTCCTCCTGTCTCACTACTCAGCCTTCACTCCGCTACACTGAAGGTCAAGTGGGATGAAATCGGAATTTTGAGTTTCTACTGACTTGTATCTCTGGAGAGTGGAGACGTATTTCGGAATAAGAAAGCGAGAGCAGAGGGAAAGATCTGAGGAGCAGGTCTACTAAGCTGAGCAAACTTACGTTCATGGGAATGTTCCAGGCCATGTAGACGTGAGATTTGTATTCATCCATCCACACCTCGGCAGCTCTCAGGGCGTTGCGTTTGGCGTAGTAATCGATGTCATTGTTGTAGGGCTTCTTCGTGCGTTCGATGTGGGCCACTCGGGCACAGGGCAGGACCTCCATACTGCCTCCACACTGCCACACCTGGGACATGAAATGAAAACAACTTAGAATGGATAAGTTTGATGGCAAAGTTGACCAACAATAGGCATAAGCTGCTTTATTTGTTTACCAGTGTTTGCTAATGCATTTAAACTTAGAGACTTAGACTTACTTTACTGAGCCACAAGGGAAATTATTTGGACACAGTAGCTCACACATCACATTATATTATAATAACAAAGAGAAAATATATAAATGGTAATAATAAATTCTAAATAAGCAGCAAAAATCGCAAGAGACTGGCATCAAATAAGGCATAATTATACCAAATAACGTAACATAAAATAGAATATAAATAAGTAAAAAATATATACATCTCAGCTATATAAGAGGTCATAAGCAGAAACAGTGTAAAGATGACTGACCGGACATAAGGTTATAAAGTAAAGTATAGTATATATATAGTCCATTACCAGTGTTCGCTAATGCAGATATTTAACAAACAGTCTGAAATTCTGCGATCGAAATAAAATCACTTGACTAATTTTTGTACAGAGCGGTTTAAGCATTAAGTCAGATTTCGATTTGTGTTATCAGGGCTTATGAGGATTTGCTGGTTCTTATCAGAGCTCAGGCTGTGGCGTTTACCTGCTATTGCTAAACACCTTCTGGAGCTGTCTGTGCATTGTGTTTGTTTTGTAGAAGCCACTTTCAAAAGTAAACACTATTGTTCTCAGAAAACCTAATACTGTATTTTGAAGCTAACTGCTCACATTTTCATGTTGTGTCAGCTGCTAAAACAAGATTAAACAGCGCTGACGGCTGCTCAACTGGTAGAGAAAGTTCAGAGCTAGACCTTTACTTGAGGGTCACAGCCTCATTTCACTGATTAAAATGTGGAAAGATCAGGGATTGCAAACTTTTTTCAGCACAATTCAAAAAAGCCACAGAAGTAGATACAATAAAAGACGTGAAATCGAACTCAAATAAGAACTGTGTGAATCATCAATCACTCGAGTAAAGTATTCACTCTATATAATATTGATCAAAAACAAACACAGAAAATAAGCTCTAGGTAACACTTTATAATAGTTACATCTTAAATGACCTTAATAAAACATAAACTAATAGCATTTACTTATTAAAGGTCCTATATTATGCAAAATTGTCTTTTGTGAATTTTATGTTATGGTAGAATGCTGTTAGTTCATCAAAAACATATCTGGAGTTTTGTTTTGTTTCATTCACACACATTTGAATAACCTTGCATTATTGGGGGGTCTACAGCTCTAAAGCTCAAAATGCTCTGTTCCACCTTGTGATGTCATGTAGTGGTAGTTTTCAAGTTAGCATACCTTTAGTTCAGTAAAGATTGGAAACTCTAGTGCTGAAATGATCCAAATGATTCTAGTGAAGGTGTGTGGAGTTTTTAAAAACACAGAGGAGCACTCTCTGTATCACTACATGACATCACAAAGTGGTTTCAAACTAAATATGGAGGGCTTGAGCATTAAACATGTGTGAATGAAACAAAAGACACCAGGTATGTTTCTGATGTGGAAACATTATAACATAGATCAGAAAATAGCATCAAATGACTTTTTAACTTTATAATTAATATGATATAATTACATATTACATAAGAAACAGCATCTTTCAAATATTACATCACAGCATATAGCTTGTGTTTAAATGGTTCCACATCAGCACTGTAAAGTCAAAATAAAGGATATTGCCAATGCATTCTGGTGAAAGACTGGAAGAACAGTTTTTTCATAATGTTCCTGATAATAGTTCAATGATTGATCTAACTGAATAATGTAAGTCATTACAAGTCATCTCCGCAGATCAGTGCCACATATGGCCACACTATACAGAGCTGCCATTGGTGTAATTGAAGTTGTCTGTCAGTGTGGAGAGGCCTGTGTGATAAACAGCCTTTTCAGTCTAATAGTCATAAATACAGCAGCCCTCGAGAGCAGTCTATGACAACCACAAACCCTGATCCCCGCGTGTTTGTAGTGTTCAGATATATAAACCCTGGCAGGAACTAGATGTCAGCTTGAAATACATCCATCATGGCAGAACGTATTGATTTTAGTGGCACTTGACTGTGGCGCTCAAAGTGAGAAAAAGTAGTGCCAGCGCTTTCCCCAAAGTGCAGAAAAGAAGTTCAGAATTTTACACCAGGCTAATGCAATACCAAAAATGCTAAGCTATGGGGAAATAAACAGTCATTTGAATACAGTGGCATATGGTAATGTCCCTGGGTTGTATAAAGTGCTGAGACCACGCCACCCACTGTCTTGTAATGACTCACAACATAAGTAGGTTCTGAACAATTAGCTTTTCTGTGAACTCTCTGACATTAAAGAAAAATAATGCTGTAGAAACCATTCCATAGCAGCAGTTTATTCAGCTGGTCATGTGAAGCTGAGTTCATTTGATATTTGGAAGAGCTTCTCTTTCAGTTTAAGTGTGTTATCATATGTGGCATTTGATTGAATATCGGCTAATAAAAAAACTGAAAATGGGCATCATAGAAAGAAGTAGTGCACCGAATATGTATTATGCTATTGCTTCAAAATGATGCTCTTCTATAAGGTTTTTCCACTCATGTATTACAAATGGAATAGACGCTTTCACAGTATGATATAATCTTTCTGCGACGCGACAGTCACCAGTCCATGTTACATGTCAGATCTATGGAGAGGCCACCCTGCTCACAGTAAGAATGCAATGCATTTATATATGTATTTTGGAGCTTTGACAAGATTGACCTGTTCCATACTGTAGATCAGAAGTGGGCAATTATTTTTTAAATGAGGCCACAGGAAAAACAGAAAATATTGTGGCGTGCCGGGCCAAAATGCTTAACTCAATTCCGCATAATATTAACTGTATTTCTTTATAAAAAGCCGTAAATAGCATTGTTTTAAGAAGCTAAAAAAACTCCTCTAACCACCTCTAAAATAAAAGCAATGCACCTTTAGTCCATGCATGAGGTAAAATGATAAAATATGTTTATTTTGTAATTCCAAATTATCTTAAATGGGCCGGTCAGAGGCAACCAAAAGGCCATATGTGGTCTGGGAGCTGTACAATGCTCAGGTCTGTTGTAGAGCATTGCCAAGCAACAATCTCACTGGCAAAACAATACTCTCTCCATAGAGGCAAGCAGGTGACAGACCCCCACCTGAAACGTTACTTTCATAGACTGTTGATGTTTTAGTTTTAACTGGTAAATGGTCACATTTTTATATAGCGCTTTTCAACCTTCAAGCCACCTAAAGCGCTTTACATCAAAGAACCACTCACCCACACTCACACACACTCACACACCAACGTAAGCAGACACTGGGGGCAAGGTGGGTAATATACCTTGCCCAAAGACACAACAACATCATTCATCTGTGGGAGCTAGAATTGCACTGCCAACCTGTGGGTCAGTGGATCTGACCTCTCTATCAACAATGTTTATGTTAAGAAAATCCATAACCGTCAGATCAATGGACAAACAATCTACAACAAACTGAGCTACTGTCACTCTTTTAAAAACATAATGTCCTGTTGTTCTTAGCCCCAATGCTTATTCTTTACAGTACATCTAATTCAAGATAGCACTCTCTATCCACGTCCATGTAGCTGATGTGTTAAAGCAGGGGTGTCAAACTCACTTTGGTCCGGGGGCCGTATCCAACCTACTCCGATCCCAAAGGGGCCAGATCAGAAAACTCATGTCATATATACCCCAAAAATGGCAACAAGTTCAAATATTTGTAAAGAGAAACGCAAATCTATTACAGAAATCTTTTTAATTGATGAACTCTTTCTTTTACAAAATATTATAATATTATGAACAACCTGAAACTTTAAGAAAAATGCAATTTCAACACAATGTTTTAACATGAACTTCTATGCATTTTATTGAATTTATCATGCTTTCTTTTTGCTCCTGAAACTTGGCATCTTTTAGCCTGCACAAGTGCATCAATATCAGGCACCATGTCCTGAGTAGCTGCTATCTTCAGAATGTCATTCTGTGCTTGTGTGTTAGCTTTGAGCGCAGCTTTGTTTTATTAATGTTCGTTACTGAGAAAACCTGCTCACAACGGTAGGTAGTACTGTAAATCTATTATTTCTAGTTACATATCTGCTGGCACATCAGAGTGGACTGTGAATGGTGTGCGAAAAATTGCAAATTCTGTCTTCAAGTTTTAAAATATAATTTAAATATTTTAGTAGAAAATTAGCAGGATCCAGCCCCCGGGTCTTATGTTTGATACCCCTGTGTTAAAGTGTGCATTCCTAAAGCCATCTGAGGCTGGAGCTCAGTGTTATTCCACCTGGACTGTACTTGTGAGGAGCTGCACAGAGCTTACATTTAAACAGCTCCATTGACTGAGTGACCCCTCATCTTCAGTGCTCCTGATCCACACTGACCCAGGACTAAAAATCCATTATCTCCTCTCAGCACACTTTACTGTGTTGTTGCTACAGCCAATGACTAGTTCGGCTTTGCCACAACAGCTGGCTACAGTGTGTGGGTGAGAGGGACAATTTACAGTGAACTCAGTCCTGCATTAAATCACACTAGTGGTATATTTTGTTGCATTCTTCAAAATCCTCTTACTGTTTTATATTGGCTTATATTTAAAGTCAATAAACTAAAGTGTAAAATAGTACAATCCCTGTGGCAGCATACATATGGGACACTTGCGGTTAATTGAAAATGTGTAATCTCAGTTAGCACATTTCTTAGCACTTCAAACTAATTGAAGAGTATTTCTTTTTCAACCACTTTAGCAGAAGGTCAAAACCCTTTAGCTAACAAGACTTGTGAAACATTTTCTGCAGCACATTTACTAGTGTTGCTGGGACTGTGAATATATATATAGAAAATAAGAACAGCTTTTGGTGGCAGAAAAAGCTTTCAGAAAGAGCTTTCTACAAGTTATAACATTGCTCCTTCATAAAAAACATGCCTGAAGAGGTTTTAGATGTCATCTATGAATATCTCAGTAATTTTGCGATGCCTCCTT